AGACGCCGCTCTCCTCCGCCATCTTGTGCCGCCGACACTGCGGGGCGGGGGATAGAGCGGCACGGGGGCGGCCGGCGCGGGCAGCGCCCCCTGCGGGCCTGGAGGGCTGAGCGCCCCGGGCTGCGCCAGGCTGGGCTGGGGGTCCCCGGGGGTCCCTGGGCCGCTCCCCGACCCCAATCCCCGATCCCGCTCCCTCCTTGCACTCTTTTCCCCCCCCTGCTCCTTCCCGCGGCCTCTGAGCCCGACAGCGGGGGCGGTTTCCGCGTTTCCCCGCGGGCCCGGCGGGTTTCCATGGCAACGGGGACGCCGCTGGGTCCCAGCGCCCCCCGGACCCCCCGGGTGGGCACGGGAGGGACCCCGGACCGCGGGGCTGCACAGGGGGTGTACCCCGGCATGGCCCTGTGCCCCGCGGGGGTGTGAGTGTGCACGTGTGTGTGTGTATGTGTGTGTACACGTGTATGTACATGTGTGTGTATGTGTGTGTGTATGTACATGTGTGTGTGTATCTGTGTGTATGTGTATGTGCGTGTTCATGTGTATATACATGTGTGTGTGAACGTGTGTGTATGTGTGTACATGTGTATGTACGCGTGTATATGTGTGTGTAGATGTGTGTACATATGTATATGTGTGTGTACATGTGTGTGTGTGTCTGTGTGTGTGTGTATGTGTGTGTACATGTGTATGTATCTGTGTGTATGTGTGTGTGTACATATGTACATGTGTGTATACATGTGTGTGTACATGTGTGTGTACACATATGTCCGTGTGTGAGTACATATGTACTTGTTTGTGCATGTGTGTGTGTACGTGTGTGTATGTACATATGTACATGTGTGTGTACACCTGAGTGTGTGTGTGTGCACATATGTGTGTACACGTGTGTTTGCACGTGTTTGTGTATGTGTGTGTGTGTACATAAGTACAGGTGTACGTGTGTGTGTGTGCATACATGTGTGTCCATGGGCATGGGTGTGCATGTGTGTGTGCACATGTGTGAGTGTGCAGGAGCCTGCCAGCATGTGCACGTGGGTGTGCGTGTGCATGTGTGTGAGAGTGCACACAAATGTACACACGTGTGCACATGCATGCATTCCAGCACGTGCACGTGTGTGCATTTGTGCACTAGTGTGCACAGGTGTGTGGGCAGGGACATGTGTGTGCATGTGGACACAGGTGTGAGAGGGCACGAGCGTGGCAGTGTGTGCATGTGAGCACATGTGCATGTGTGTGTGCGCATGTGAGAGGGCACGAGCACGCCAGCCTGTGCATATGTGTGTGTGTGCTTGTGTGTGCATTAGTGTGCACAGGTGTGTGTGTGCCAGCACATGCATGTGTGGCTATGGCTGTGCACTGCATGCGTGTGCATGTGTGTGAGACACATGANCAGTGCCAACCACTCTCTGGCGGAAGAACCTTTTCCTGAGATCCAGCCTGACCCTCCCCTAGCACAGCTCCAGGGGTCCTTCCCGCCCTGTACCACACGGACACAGGCTGAGGAGGGCGGCCGGGCCCCTCCGTGTGGGCAGCGCTGGGGGCGGCACCAGGCCCTGCCTCGCCTCCACAGCGCACCGACCCTGCGCGGCCCGGCTTCCCGCGCCCCCGGGGTGCCCCAAGCCCTCACCCTGCTCCTGGTCGCTGCTGGGCCGTTTCCGCCGGCCCCTGCCCGCGGCCCGGCCCCGCTTCTTGAACAAGAAGCTGCAGACGCCGCTCTCCTCCGCCATCTTGTGCCGCCGACACTGCGGGGCGGGGGATAGAGCGGCACGGGGGCGGCCGGCGCGGGCAGCGCCCCCTGCGGGCCTGGAGGGCTGAGCGCCCCGGGCTGCGCCAGGCTGGGCTGGGGGTCCCCGGGGGTCCCTGGGCCGCTCCCCGACCCCAATCCCCGATCCCGCTCCCTCCTTGCACTCTTTTCCCCCCCCTGCTCCTTCCCGCGGCCTCTGAGCCCGACAGCGGGGGCGGTTTCCGCGTTTCCCCGCGGGCCCGGCGGGTTTCCATGGCAACGGGGACGCCGCTGGGTCCCAGCGCCCCCCGGACCCCCCGGGTGGGCACGGGAGGGACCCCGGACCGCGGGGCTGCACAGGGGGTGTACCCCGGCATGGCCCTGTGCCCCGCGGGGGTGTGAGTGTGCACGTGTGTGTGTGTATGTGTGTGTACACGTGTATGTACATGTGTGTGTATGTGTGTGTGTATGTACATGTGTGTGTGTATCTGTGTGTATGTGTATGTGCGTGTTCATGTGTATATACATGTGTGTGTGAACGTGTGTGTATGTGTGTACATGTGTATGTACGCGTGTATATGTGTGTGTAGATGTGTGTACATATGTATATGTGTGTGTACATGTGTGTGTGTGTCTGTGTGTGTGTGTATGTGTGTGTACATGTGTATGTATCTGTGTGTATGTGTGTGTGTACATATGTACATGTGTGTATACATGTGTGTGTACATGTGTGTGTACACATATGTCCGTGTGTGAGTACATATGTACTTGTTTGTGCATGTGTGTGTGTACGTGTGTGTATGTACATATGTACATGTGTGTGTACACCTGAGTGTGTGTGTGTGCACATATGTGTGTACACGTGTGTTTGCACGTGTTTGTGTATGTGTGTGTGTGTACATAAGTACAGGTGTACGTGTGTGTGTGTGCATACATGTGTGTCCATGGGCATGGGTGTGCATGTGTGTGTGCACATGTGTGAGTGTGCAGGAGCCTGCCAGCGTGTGCATGTTTGTGTGTGTGTGCATGTGTGTGAGAGTGTGCAGGAGCCTGCCAGCATGTGCACGTGGGTGTGCGTGTGCATGTGTGTGAGAGTGCACACAAATGTACACACGTGTGCACATGCATGCATTCCAGCACGTGCACGTGTGTGCATTTGTGCACTAGTGTACACAGGTGTGTGGGCAGGGACATGTGTGTGCATGTGGACACAGGTGTGAGAGGGCACGAGCGTGGCAGTGTGTGCATGTGAGCACATGTGCATGTGTGTGTGCACATGTGAGAGGGCATGAGCACGCCAGCCTGTGCATATGTGTGTGTGTGCTTGTGTGTGCATTAGTGTGCACAGGTGTGTGTGTGCCAGCACATGCATGTGTGGCTATGGCTGTGCACTGCATGCGTGTGCACGTGTGTGAGACACATGAGCCTGCCAGCGTGGGCATGTGTGCGTGTGTGTGTGTGTGTTTGTGTGTGCACGTGCAAGATGTCTGGTCATGGGCATGTGTGTGCACGTGTGTGAGAGGGCATGAGCCTGCCAGCGTGGGCATGCGTGTGCACGTGTACATGTGTATGTCTGCTGGGGTGTGTGCACATGTGTGAACATGTGTGAGAGGGCACGAGCACCCCAGTGTGTGCATGTGGGCGTGTGTGTGTGAACATGTGTGTGTGAACATGTGTGAGAGGGCATGAGCACCCCAGTGTGTGCATGTGGGATGTGTGTGTGTGGTGTGTGCACAGCTGTGTGGCCGTGGCACGTGTGTGTGTGTGAGCACACGTGTGCCCCTGCAGCGACTCTCTCCACACAAGGGTCCTGGTGCTGGGGAGCCCCCCGGGCCGTGGGCTCAGGCCCCAGCTCGGCACCCCCTCAGCAGGTGCCAGGATGAGTCCCCAGCCCTGTCCTCCCTCAGACCCCCTCCCGAGGCTCAGGGAGTCTCACCCGGCCTGGAGATGGGATCCTTTGCCCGTGTCCGTGCCCAGAGCTCGGGCAGCCCGTGGGTGTTGTGCTTGTTCCCTTCCCACACACCCACCCTCGTTTTGGGAAAAAAGAGACCCCCTGGACACTTTTCTCCTCCCCACGTCCCGACAGACCCCATTTTGCAGCCCTCTGGTCTCCAGTGCCTGCTCTGTGTGACCATCTGGGCCGGGATCTGCTCGGCAGCAGCTGATTTTACCATGGAGTGCAATCCCTCCTTTATTTGCTCTCGGTGACAGGGAGCCTCTTCAGCACAGATGCTATTTGGGCAATGCGGAGTGGCAGACGTGGTAAATCATATCGCTGCTGTCTCCTTGTCCTGTAAACACTTCCATAAAATCCTTGATTGTGTTTTTTTGTACAGGGAGTTACAGGCAAACTGCACACAAAGCACCTGGCTCTGCCTCTGGGCTCAGACTTTGGGCCACCTCCAGCCGGCGTTTGGCTCTTTCCACGCTGTGTTCGGGAGCCAAACAAGAATATTTGCTCCTGCATCATCATTATCAAAGCTATTCCCACCTCTCCACTGCCTATTTTCCTTCATGGATCCCCCTCTGAATGGGTTTGGGAGGTTAAGGTGAAGCCCTCACAGCTACAGGTTCCTGCTGCCTCTCTGCTGGCTCAGGTCCATCCCGGCTTCCTTGGCCGCCGTGAAACCACCCCCGAGTTCCCTCCAGGTTTTAACTATTAATATTTAACCTATTTATTCCTGATGTTTTGCCTTGTTCCTGGGGAAATCCCAGCCCTCCAAACCCCAGGGGAAGCTGCCTTCGTGGTCCAGGCAGTGCTTTTGCTCGCCCCATGAGACCCTGCCCTGGCAGATCCGCCGCCCACCTTACACGGCCCCGCTCCCACGCTCCACGCCAGCTGTCCATGGAATAAAACCCGGATTTCTGAACCATCACTGCTCAGCTCTGCTCCCCTGGGAGGTGAGAAGTGGGGAGCAATGGGATTCCCCTTTTCTGCAGCTGCCTGATAAGATTCTTCCTCTGCAAACAGTTTGTTGAGGGGGGGGTGTGTGTTGCAGGGTGGGGAGAATTCGGCTTTCACAGACCCCGGAGGGACGGATCCTTTGGGATGCTCGCGGGAAACCTTCCATGAGTGGGTGGGTGAGCCCAAGGCCGCGTCCAAAGTCTGGAGCGAAGCCAATCTGGAGGGAGGGGGAGAGGATGGAAAAGCTAATTACGGCGGGGGGGGGTAATTACACCCACGCTGCCAGAAAGCGGAAAGAGACGCTCGGGGGGTCGGCAGCGCTGAGCCGGGGAGGGGCCGCGGGGGTCCGGGGAGAGGGAGCCGTGAGGAGAGGGGCTGGGGAAGGTTTGGGGTTAGAGGTTGGCTGCACACAAAGGAGCGAGTGGCTGGGAGACGGTTCGGCGCCGGGAGCCAATCGCTGCCGCGGCCCCGCGATAAAAAGGGCTGCGAGGCGGCGGTGGGAGCGCGCAGGAAGCGGCTCCCGCTCCCACAGCCCCGGCCCCTGCGGCGGGAGAGGGGCGGCCAGAGCCCCCCGGCACCGGCACGGACCCCCCCGACCCCCCTGAGCCCCCCGCTTGGCATCCCCCAGGCGTACGGTGAGCCCGGGCTCCGGGAGAACAACGCGATGGGGAGGCGGCGGGAGAGCCGGCGGGAGACAATGATGGTCCCTGGAAATGGGAAATGGGGGGTTCGCCCATCCCCGGCATCGCTGCCCACCGCGGGGGGCTCGGGGGTGGGCAGGGATAAGAGCCATCGGCGGGCGGCCGGGGAGAAAGGGATGGAGAGGAGGGAGGGATGCAAAGGCAGGAGGGAACCCCGGGAAGCGGCACCGCTGGAGCCACCCGGGAGATGGGGGTTCATTCCCCCCCGGCCCCGGGCAGCCCCCCGGGAGGAGGAGGAACCATCCGGGCGCTCCGGGAACTTTCCGCTCTGGGAGGAGACTCGGCCGAGGGGGTCGCGGGAGGCAGGTTTGGTGGGGGGGTCTCAAGGGGGGCTGTTCTGGGCCGGGGTCAGGTGGGGGCAAAGAGGTGCTGCCGGAGCTCCGGGGGCCTGTTGGGGGGCGATGCTGTGGGAGGGGGGGCGAGCCCCCCGTGCCCGGTGTGAGCCGGGGGGCGAGGGGCTGGTCCCCTCCGGATCGAGCAGAGGCCTGTGCTGGCTGGATCCGCTGCAAGGGGTGTCTGGGGGTGCAAATTTCGGGGCTCCCCGTCCCCGTTCGGGCTGTAATTCCCTCTTTGTTGTGTGCTGCAGCACATGCCGGAGGGGGGCTGGACAGATCCATTTTATTAAGCTGATCAGAAAGAGCAGAGATGGAAGAAAAACCTGTTAGATCCCGACTCCCTTGTCCCCCCTTCGTTAATGCCTGCTAATTCCCGATGGTGTGTCTCCTACCGCCTCATCCAGCCTGGATTCAAACCTTTCCAGCGACAGGTCTTTCATCACTTCCCTGGGGAGGCTGTTGCATGACTGTGAGATTTAATAACAACACAAATGCCCCGAGCTCTGACATAACCCTTAACAGCCAGGGATCTCCCAGGGCTTCACAAAGGAGAGCAGCTCTGTTTTCGTCGGGGAGGGGAGAAAAGGGAACAGAAAAAATGAAATTAATTGTCCACTGCCACCCAAAAAATTAGCAGCAGAGTTGGGAATCAAGCCCAGCTCTCCCAAGTCCCGGTTTGGTGCTGTAACTACTGTGTTTTGAGCCAGTCTGATCTGTCTAATCCCCTTGGATCACTTGAAACCAGCTAAGCTACCTTGTAGATCACATTTATGATCAATTTTCTGCTGGTTTTTGTTCATGGGGCGACCATTGGTTTCGAAAAAACGTGATAATTCAGCCTTGAAAATGGTGCTTTGTCCACCGAAGGCGTCGTGTGAGGGCTCTCGCAGGGAAGACATCTGGTGCCTCAGCTGAGCTGTCGTGTATTTAAGGCCAGGAGTAGCACATCTGCAGAATTATTAACAGAGATTACAAAATAATTGCAGAGCAACCGACCAAGCTTAGTCTGAAACAGCCCCAGTGCTCGTGTCCTTTTTTAAATGGGAGAAGCGAATTCCCAGTTCCGAAGTGAGGGCCTGTCAGAACCAACCTTGTGGGCTTTGCAAAGTGACTGGATGCATCTTCATTTTTTTTTTTTGCAGCTCAAAACTGGGTTCCTGACCTTTTTTGGTCGACAAAAAATCCCACGAGACTTCTCATTAGGGAAGGGAGTTCCTCTTCTGGTTTCCTTTGGTTGGCCAATTCTGTGAGGCTTCAACACCCGCCCCCCCCCGGTCCTGCATGGTGGTGGAGTTTTTATTTTCCTTTTCTCTCACCCTCAGCCCTTGCAGGGTTGTTGGCCATTGCCAGGCAGCTGCCATGTCCCCCCCAGAGGTGCCTTCTGCCTTTTCCTTCCCAGTTAAGTCATTTTTATGAGCCATCTGGGGGGGTTGCTGTGCTTACCTCGCTGTTAGCCAAAGCTCTGAGATGGAAAACATTAAATCTGGGTGAAGGGATTATTGCAATATCAATGTTAAGCACACTTTAGATGTATTTCTCACTCCTCTGGTGTGCCCATAACCCTCTCCATATGGCCAGCTCAGGGTTTTCAGACACAAGGTGCCTCAGCACCCTCTGATGTGCCTCTCCAGGGACTGCTTTCCCAGCATGTGTGCCATGAATTTCAGAGCACCAGATCCTACACTGGGCTGTGTGGTGTATTGGATCCTAAAAGGGAGGATGGAGGTGAAGGCTGGAAATAGGGCAGCTCACAAAGAATGATCTGTGGAGAGATTTAACTATAAATATGATTTTGGTGGCTTTTTTAATTACACAGTCTGCATTTGGGCAGCAAAGAGCAGCTCTTGTAGGGGTTGTGTGGAGGCAGGGGCTGTGGAAAGGGGCTGTACTGTGTTTTGGGGTGCCTGGAAGAGGCCTCACTCTTCCTCTTGCTGCATCTGCAGGTGGTGAAACAGCAAAAACTCTTGGGGGGGGATCTCTCAGGGTTCAAGAGATGGGCTCACCCCCAAAATCAAGGTTGGAAAAGCCCTCCAAGATCACCGAGTCCAACCATTCCCCCAGCACTAACCCACATCCCCAGGTGCCACATCCCCAGGGCTTTAAATCCCTCCAGGGATGGGGACTCCACCACAGGAAATGCCAGTCCAAAGTCTGGTGGATAACAGGTGATATTCCAGGAGGGGAAATCAGCCAACGTAACATTGGTGGGTTGTGTTTGAGGAGAGAGGAAATTACAGGCAATTACAGATCCATTAATTGGAGTACAAGGAAAGGTTGGTTTCTAGAACAGGTCCTGGAAGAGTAACCAAAGACATGCTGTTGGGAAGCAGAATGAAGTGCTGGGTGGTTTTTACACAGATCATGTCACGTTGGCTCAGTGTCTTCCTTGGATATGATAAATGACTTGTGAAACAACAGGGCCTCGTGATACAGTGCCCCAAGGAAATGATTATTTTAGGTGGAGAGAGGACAGGGAAAAGAGAGCCAAGTGGAAGGAGGACACCTGGATCCTTCCACAGTGTAAGGACACATCAGGCCAGATGTTTTCAGGGGAGTTTTGTACCAGAATTCTGAGGTCTGAGATCTCCCACAGTGTGGAGAAGCCAGGTCAGCTCACCTGCTGGTGTCAGGCCACCAGAGTGGGGACAGAGAACAGGTTAAAAGGGATTGGCTTCTCCTGCTAAAAAAAAACCAAAAACCTGATAAGGAATGTGATTTATCGTCACAAATCCACTGAGAGGCAAATATATGGTGGAAGAAGAACTGGAGGCATAATGTATAATGGTAAATGGATGTGCATTTATGTAGGAAACCAGGAGGTGAAGTTTTACAGGTGGTTTATGGAAGAGATAATGGAAAAGCTGAAAAGGGGAAGGGAAGGAGCATGAACTGCTGTTTGCCTACTGTGCTTGTGTGTACCAGGTCTATGTTGCACCTCATTAGTGCCACTCTGCAGAGCTCCCAAGGTTTCTCTCAGGGAAGCACTTCTGCCTCATGTCCAGCCTGAACCTCTCAACCTGCAGTTTTCATCCTGGCACTACTGAGGATTTGTCTCTGCCTGGAAAAGGCTCTTCTCATCCACCCCCCAGCAGTGTTTCTCTGCTTTATCTGAGCTCCTAGAGAGACAGGAGCTCCCAGGGAGCAGACACTCCCTTCAGACCGTGATTTTTAATGGATGCCATTAAACATGGCCATGATCCCAGGAAGGAACTGCTCAGTGCCTCAGTTTCTGCTTCTGGAAAGCCAGTGAATCCCTGCAGCATCCTCCTGGCACATCTGCCCCCTCGCTGGGAGGCAGGGGCAGGGGACCAGCCCAGTCCCCCTGGCCCTGGTCCTTCCAGCTCCTCCTCAGGGGAGAGCAGCCAGGGCAGGGGTGAAGGTGGGAGAGGGGAGCGGGTGGGCAGGGGCTTCCCTCGGGCTCCCCCCTCGCCCGTGCGGGTCCCCCATTGTTGCCCTGACAAAGGCAGCCCTGTTCCTCCCCACAACTATTCCTTGTCAGCATCCCTCAGCATTTCGGCTGCAGATTTCCTGCCCACTGGCAGCCTTTCAAGAGGCAGCCCTGGCACAGGACGTGGCTGGAAAGGGGATTAGAGGAGCGGGATGGTGGAAGGGAGCGCTGGGCCCTGGGGTGCAGGGATGGGCCCACCCCCCCAGAGATGGGATGAGCAGGGTAGTGGCAATCCCAGAATGTCCAAATGCTCCTCCCTGGGGTCCTCCACCCTGTGCCAACCCAGCAGGGACCTGCCCTGGTCCTGAATACTGGTGAGGTCAAGTGGTTGGCTCAAAGCCATGCAAGAGCCAAGACCTGCAGCTGAATGAAGGGCTTCCACGGCTGAAGCTGGAGCCCTGGCTGGCTCCATCATCCCACTGTGCCCCTTCCCTGGCACCGCTGTGCCTGGTTCTGGCACTCTCCTCTTTGATGCTGGCTCTTTGCACACTTTGTTTCATGGTGTGGGTCAACCATAAGACCCCCAAGGCTGCAGATGGGCAGTGAGCTGGGTGATTCCCAGGCTCTGGGGACAGACTTTTCCACCTCCTCTTCACCTCCTGCTCTCACTGTCCTGCTGAGAGGGACCATGGGCTGGGCTGGCCGTGGAGCTGCAGGGTCAGTGCTGTGCTGTGTGCGTGGGTTTCACTAATCCTGCACATGATCTGGGGCACATCCAGCCCCACATCCATCCCAAAACAGCCCGTGTTTCCTGGGGGAAAGCCCTGACAACCCCTCCAAGGTGTCGAGCCCCTGCCCTTCCCTCACTGTGCTGTTGGGGACACTCCATGTCCTCGGGGGATGGAGGAGGAAGGGGCCCGGATCCCCCACGCTGTGCTTTGCCTTTGGGAAAGCCCCTGCCGTGGGGGAGTGATCCCTGCAGGAAACACGCCCTTCCCAGGGCTGTAATGGGAACCAGATGGCAGAGAGGGGCCTCTGGCCCTCCGCAGTCACGCTGCTGCTTCCCTGGGCCGGAAACTCCGCGGCTCCCGGAGAGCCACGGCCAGCGCGGGGCTGGGGCCCACTGGGAGCTGCTGGGAGGGCGATGGGGCAGCTGGATCAGCAGTGGGGGCAGCCAGGATGACCCCACTGGGGAGGAGAAGGAGGGAAAGACTCCCTGCACCCGTCCTGGCTGTGGGAAACGTGATCCTTTTTAGGCACGTTGTGATCGGGGAGTTCCCTTGAGGGGCCACCCCAGATGTTCCCTCTCCCTGCATCTGCCCCAGGGTCGGGCAGGAGGGTGAGAGGGCATGGAGAGGGGGCTGTTAGGGAACAGCTCTGTGATCGAGCAGCTTCTGGGAGGAATGTTGCCTTCCTCCCTCCAAACTGTTCCTGCTTGGAGCTAAAAGGCAGCCGAGCACTGCTCCAGCTGCTCCACACGGCAGCAGGCACATGTCCCCTCTGGATGATGGACAAATTCCAACCCTGAGGTCCTGACTCAAACACCAGCTCGCTGAGATCACCCAAAAAGCCCCCAGAGCAGGACCAGCTGGTGGTGACCTGGGCAGCAGAAGTGGCAGGTCAGGCACCAAGTGCATCCCACTGGCTGTGGTGCCACACCGAGATCCACCTCCCTGGGTCTGCCGTGCTGTGGCCATCAGTGTTCCCAGCAGGAGCTGCTCCATCACCCCGGGTAGATGGCATGAGCCCAAGTCCCCTGGAAAGATGTTTTATAGTCCACACCAGCCGTCAGTCGCTCCCAGGAGGGGCAGGAAGAACAGAGGCTGGAAGGCAAAGGTGTTCTCACCTTGTCCTGAGCCAAATACCTGAAGCTGGTGGCGTTTCCAGGAGGGCACAGTCCTCACTCCTGCTCTTCCCAGGCTCCATAAGTGGCCAAGGGCTTTAGGGAACAGAGGTTTGGAACAGGCAGGTCTAGTCATGGTGCTGACCTCCACCCTGGAGCCTTGGCCTTGGCTTTCTGGCTTTGTCAGAGGTGCCCTCTGTGCTCCTCACAGCACAGCCCCGAGGGCTGCCCGAGCCACTGTGAGGGCTTTGCAATGTCAGAGTGGCAGCGTGTCTTTAAGCAAAGCCTGTGCCACAGCATTCTTCCACTCATCAGGCTGGTGTTGGCTGCCTTGGGCTCAAATCCCATCCTGCACTCCTTGGAAGCACGATGAGAGCAGTTGAGAGCCTCCTAGAAACCCTCCTGCAGTGTCTCACTTGTTCTGGTTCCCTTATCGCTTCAGCACACCCTTCCCCTTCGAGATTTCTGCTCTTGCCTCCTGCCCTTCGGCAGGAAGGAGGTTTAGTAACTCCTGCTCCTCTGCCTGAAGGGACTCTCTGCACCCTGAGCTGAGAGACAGCGGCGGGGAGAGCGTGGGCACGAGAGGGTATGTGAGTGGAGGGCACGAGAGGGCACGTGCGTGGAGGGCAGAGGGGTGTGGAGAGGATGGAGGACGGGGCTGGATGGAGAACATCAAGCCATGGGGCAGGCTAAGTGGGGAGGAATTGAAGGGGACAGGGTTTGGGGGAATGAGAAGCAAAGAAACAAATAGTAGGTGAAAGAAACCGTGTGCTTATCACAGAATCACAGAGTGGTTTGGGTTGGAAGGGACCTCAAAGCTCATCTCGTTCCAACCCCCTGCCGTGGGCAGGGACACCTTCCACTGGCCCAGGTTGTGGGGAAGGGCAAGAGGGGGATGATGAAAGGACTGGGAAAACTGAGGGGCAGGAGGTGGCTGGGGTAGGGGAGGAAGATGAGCTGCGAGGGAGGAGGAAGGGAAGCAGGGGGAGGACAAACATTTGTGCCAAAGTTTGGGGTGAAGGTGAAAGGCAGGTGGGAAGGGGGAGGGTTGTGCATCTGTGCCAGAGGCGTGTATGAGGTGGGGACAGCAGGTTCTCTGGGTTCCTCAGGTTCCCTCTGGCCTGAGCTGGGCTGCAGGCACCTGACAGACCCCGGGGTCATGAAGGGAAGGTCCTGTCCCAGGGAATGGGGGCAGAGAGGGGCTGTGGGTTTGGGCACTGGCCCCAGCAGACTCTGGGTTCGGCAGCAGCTGCCTGTGAGCGAGCTGGGAGGGCAGGAAATAACAAGCAAACCACAGAGGGACGGGAAATGATCTGGGTAAAACAGAGCCGTGCCTCAGATGGGGCTGAGAAGTGTTTGTGATGAGGGCTGTGCACCCCCAGGACCTGGGGCAGGTCTCTCAACTCCAAAAGCAGCCACGAGTTCTGGGTGCTTTGCTGGCTGTAACACGAGCCTGGTGTCAGCTGTTTGGCAGCCAAAGAGCCCCCAGAACCCAGGGCATGTCTGCAAATGTCCCAGTGAGGTGGGCATTGAGGAGACACCCCCTGCCCCCAGCCCTCCACCCTGGCATGTCTCTGCCCTCGGGGCTCTCTCAGGGTCTATCCCAGCCCTTGGGCAGCAGGAAAGTTTTTGAGGTGACAGAATGAGGCCAAGGGGGTTCAGCAGGAGATGAGAGCAGCCTCAGGCAGGAGGGGTGGTGGTGGTTTTCCATCCCCCAGCTCATCCCCATCGTTGCAGAGCTGCCCCTTCACCCTCCTCCTCCCTGCTCTGCTCCTCCCTTCGCTCAACCCCTCAGTTCAGTGCCGTGTATGCAAACCAGGGCTGATCTTTCACTGGTGTTTTGAAGGTAAAGTGTGGTGGGGAAAAACCCCTGAGGAGCTCTCAGTGCCTTTTCAGCTATTTTTTACCAAAAGGGGTTGATTTGCAGTGCTGGTGGTTTTTTTCCTGTGCTGGTCCCTGTCAGCCCCATCCTCCCGGGCACTCAGCTCATCACACGAGGCCACAGCTCACAGGGCTCAGCCTGAAGGTGACGTGGGCTCCCCAGAGAAGACAAAATCCCCATCACTCGCTCTGCTGAGCTGTGATCAGAGAGACTTTTCTGGGCTAAAATTAGACTAAAATCACAGTCCTTCCTCCAGCAACACCAGTCCTTTAGTGGCTGCATCAGTGAAACACGGGGCATTGGTTTTGCTCCCTTGGCTTGGACATTGCCTGGCAGCTGCCTCCACGTGTGGGTTTGGAGCACAAGCCATCACATCACCTTCTGCTCATGTTCCCAGCAGTCCTCTCCCATCCCAGCCCAGGATCTTTGTATGGGATTATCTTTGTATGGGATTAGAGGACTGGAGCTACTGAGCTCAGTGCCCCAGATCACAGAATCCCAGGCTGGTTTGGGTTGGAAGGAACCTTAAAGCTCATCTCGTTCCACCCTCCTGCCATGGGCAGGGACACCAGACCAGGGTGCTCAGAGTCCCAGACTCTCCAGCTCCCTATCACAGTGTTCCAGACCTGCATCTCCTGTCTGTTGGTCCAGCCTGGTGTGCCTGAACCTCTTGGCTCCCTCAGGAATCTCCCGGACCAACGAGGCTGCTCTGAGAGAGCCGAGCACACACCACCTCCTGCAGAGCTGCTGGGTTTGGGGTGATGAAACCAACCCCGCTGCTGTTGACATTTCCTTCCAGGTGTTGCAAAAAGGCTGTCTTACCCAGGGAACATCGACCCACAGACTTCAAGCTCAGGACTAATCAGACGGAGGAGGGGAAGGAACCATGTTCCAGGCCACGGGAGCCGCCAGCCCACCCCCAACCCATGTACGTAGATCCCGCAGTTTGTGTGGGAATTGCACCCCGGTTTTGGTTCTCAGGGAGGGAGGGTTGTGTACAGAAGGCCTGACATCTCAGGGTGATCAAAGGCACAGTCACTGCTGCTCAAACAGCAGAGCTGGGGACAGGAATGTTCCAGCAGAAGGTGCTGTTTGCTGAGCACTCCGAGCGCCGGCGCCCAGGCTCGGGTCCATCCAGAGCTCTCACCCCGCTCTCATCTCCAGTTGCCTCTGTTTGTTTGTGTTTCCATGGCTTTCCGTGATCACAATTGAGAGCCTTCGAGCTGCTTAGGACCGGAGTGATCGGAGGTGGAAAAACATAAAGGCTCAAGAACATCTCCTGCTGGGACAGGATACGGCCCTTCCCCGAGGGGAGATAGATCAGATACGGGATAGATGGAGAGCCTGCCCCGAGCCAGGAGGCTGCCGAGAAGTGACGAGCCGCGGTGGATTGCTGCAGCCTTGGGAACGGATGTATCCCAGCTCCAGAGAGGCAGCGTTTTCCTCAGCTCTGGCTCAGCTGAGCCTGGAAACAGCGCATTAAATCCTGACCCCGGGGGAGCACCCGCGGTTGTTCTGCCACTGCCAGGGGATGCAACTGGTTTTACACGGCCGGAGCCTCCCCGCTGCCCGTGTCCCACTGTTGACTTTGGCTCCTGCTTCCAGCCTCGTGGGAGGGAGAGGAAAATCACGTCCCTGACCTGAGTCAGGGAGAGCAGCTGGGAAACGTCTGAGGAGGCAGCTCAGCCAGGGGAGAGTTTCCTGTGCGTCTCTCAGACAAACTGTTTCCAAAAATACAAAGGAGGAACGATGGGGAAGGGCAGAGAGGGAGGAACAGGGTGTGTGTGTGGGGGGGATCAGCCTGGGGGCAGAGAGGGGCAGCACTGGCCAGGCAGAGCCAAGGAGCAGCGAGGGGAAGGACAAGGACAGCGGGGAGGTGTCCTGGGGTGACATCCTGGGGTCACAGTGCCCCGACCCTGGGAACAAGCAGTGCAGAGGGTGAGCCAGCCCTGAGGGTGACCTGCTGAAGTGTGATGGCCCCTTTGATCCTGACAGTTTGAAGGAAGGAGGGAGAATTTCCATGAGTGCAAAGGCGGGTGAAACACTCCCAGGGGGCTGTCGGGACCTGTGCAGTGGGCGTGGGGAGGGTGAGGAGGGGAGTGGGGGGAATTTGGGAAGAGAGGAGCTGTTGCAGCTGCAGATGAAGGAGTGTTTACCAAGACCCTGCCCTGAAATCCCAGGGCACCTCAGCGTTTGGGTCTCTCTGCCCTGGTGCTGGAGCAGCATCTGCTCCCCACAAGCTGCAGACCCCATGGAGCACATCCTCAGTTCTGCCCTCACCCGCTGCCCCTCTGCCCTCCCCACACCCCCCTGAGCCTGCAGGGCCTCGGGGGCATTTCCTGCACAGCAGCAGCAGCAGCGTGAGGGGCTGGGAACAGGGCAGGGAAGCTCCAGGAGAGCGAGGGGCTCCTGGGGGAACAGGCAGGGCACCATCCCCTGAGCCCAGGCAAGGCCATATGGCAGCACTGCTGGAGCCCTGGGCACCCCCAGCAAGAGGAGTTAATCATCCCCCTGCAGCCCGGGGGTAGGTGTTGGCTGGAAGGAGCAGGAGCAGCACTTGGGAGCAGAGCTGCTGTTGGTAGGTGCATCAGCCACAGGTGAGGATTTGCCAGAGCAGGTCACAGAGGGGCTTTACCAAGGGCTTGTCTGCAGCAGCTCAGCAAATCCTTTCCCCTTCTCTGCCTGCTACAGGCCCTTGCTGTCCCCAGGGATGTGGCAGCTGTGCTGTTGTTATTCCTGAGGGATGATGTGAGTCCCAGGATGTGCACGGTGGTGGCACTGGGTGGCCCAGGACAGGGATCAGTGCCTGCAGCTGGTGAGAGCTGCTCAGCAGGGGACAGTTCTTACCCTGCAATGCCCATGCTGTGACATCTCCTGGCTCCATGTGTGGGTGCTGCTGCCACCACAAAACAGCTCTGCTGTACCTGGCCATGGAAAATACAGAGCTGTGCCGTGATCTTGCTGGATAAGGGCTGCTCTGCCCCTGGAAGTTCCACAGCTGCCTGGTGCTCCACTCCTTCTCTGCAAAATGTCCATGTTTTCCCTTCTTTCTCCATTTCCCTCCCTTCCTTCTCTCTTTGGGAAAAGCACCACAGCACAGGCAGTAACACACGCCAGGACCTGACAGATGTCGTGGCCTCTGGGCAAGTGAGTTCAGGGACGGTCACCACGCTGTGACAGGGGCTGGTGTGCCTCGGGGTCCTGCAGAGCAGCTGCCTGTGCCAGTCCTCCCCTCCTCCTCAAGCACAGCTCAATGTCAGGCCAAGCTCTCATTTTGGTTTCTTTTCTCCTTCCCTTTTCAGGAGGCAAAGAGCAGCTCAGGAGGCAGCACAGTGCAGCGCTCCAAGGTACCTGGGATTTACCACGTCATATCGAGTGGTTTGGGTTGGAAGGGACCTTAAAGATCATCCAGTTCCATCCCCTGCCATGGGAAAAGCACCTTCCACTATCCCTGGTTGCTCCAAGCCCCGTCCAAGCTGGCCTTGGACACTTCCAGGGATGGGGCAGCCACAGCTTCTCTGTGTCAGTGCCTCATCCTACTGATTCATGGCGAGGGGAGAAGGACCAAACACCCCAGGCCCAAGCACCACTCCAGCCCAGCATCAGTGGGGTGGCCCAGGGAGGGGGGAGGTGAGGCTGTTCACGCTCACCAAGGCTCCAGTGAGTGGCAGCACAAATACCAGGGAAGAGGGCTGTGATGGGAGCCAGGCACGGGGAATCCCACGCTCCTTCCTCATCCCGTGTCTCCCTTTGGTGTCCCCTTGCCCAGTCGTTCAGCCTGAAGGCTCAGGTGAAGGAGATGTGCACTGCCTGCCAGAAAACCGTGTACCCCATGGAGCGGCTGGTGGCCGACAAGTTCGTCTTCCACAACTCCTGCTTCTGCTGCAAGCACTGCCACACCAAGCTCAGGTGAGCCGGGCTGGGGCCTGTGCTGGGACAGGTGTCACCACGGCTCTGCCGGGCCTGGGTGGGGGAAACCCTTCCCAACACTGCACCCACCCCCTCACCCATCACAGCCCCTCGCTTGGGCGGTGCCCAAAGACCCCCCAGCCCACTCATGGCAGCAAAGAAACCTTTATCTGCCCACCTGCTCCCAAGTCTCAGCTAAATCCCACCTGGCATGGAAGGAGAGATGCTTCCCCTCGAGAGCAGCCCCAGGGTGACACGGAGCTGAGCCGGAGCCTCCTCCCAGAGCGCCCAGAGCCAAGGCTGAGCTCCCTGGAGACCTCCCCCTCTACAGACCTGCTCATAGCCCCCAACAGCCTGCACTGGCTGGAGGGAGCAGTTTGCCCTGTCTAAGGGTCTCCTCCTGCACCTTCCTTCCTCCTTCCTGCCCTATCCTGGTGTCCCCCAGCCCCAGACCCCCGAGCCCACCTAACCCTGCCCTCCCTCCGCAGCCTGGGCAGCTACGCCGCCCTCCACGGGGAGTTCTACTGCAAGCCCCACTTCCAGCAGCTCTTCAAGAGTAAAGGCAACTACGACGAGGGCTTCGGGCGCAAGCAGCACAAGGAGCTGTGGGTGCACAAGGAGGTGGAGAGCGGCACCAAGTCGGCGTGAGCGGGGCCAGCTCACCCACCCCCCGCAGCCCAGCAGGGCTGAGCCAGCACTGACTGAGCTGATGTAAAGCAGGACCTGCGGGAGAGCAGGGCAGGGCAGGGCAGGGCAAGGCAAGGGGAAAGCCCACCCCACTTTGAGGGTGCTCAGAGGGGTCCTGCGGGTCACAAGGACAGGGCAGAAGTGACGGGGTGCAGCCCCCAGACCTGAAGCTCTCTCTCCTCAGGCCCCTCTCCCCCATGAGATCAGACCAGAAGCACTTGCCAACCCCTCCCCACCCCCCTGGGACCCCCAACCCTGTTCATACATTTTAGGCTTGTCACCGTGGAGAAGATGATCTGGGGGCTTAACCAGCTTGTGAGTCCCAGCAGAGCTCCTGCCACCCCCATCCTGCCTTGCTGGGGCTCTGGACAACGAGGGTCCTTGGTTTACATCAGCTCAGTTCAGCTGGGGTGGCTCAGCCCCCAGGACGCTGCCCTGCGACTGTGTAACAGTGTCTGTCTTTTTTATATTTGCCTTCCACTGGTACGTTCTGCAGGAGCCTCACGGCGGCTCCGCCTCACACTGCGCCAGGCGCTCTTTTATTTTTGTAATACAAGGTTTCCGAGCCTTCCCTGTGTCCTGTCCTGTGTTCCCAGGGTGTCTGGGGAGGTGGGAGGAGTGGTCAGGCCCCCTCTTGCTGCCCCAGTTGCTGTGGAAAGAGCCTCTGTCCATGCAGGATCAAGGAATTATTCCTGGGTGTTTGCGAGTAATGTTATGACTGAGGTGGTGAGGGAAGGGAGGGAAAGGAGGGAAGGAAGGGAAGAAGGCAGCCCACTCCTCTTTTCAGAGGGGTCCTGCAGGCCACAAGGGTCAGAGGTGACAGGGGTGCAGCCCCCAGACCTAAAACATTCTCTCTTCATGCCCCTCTCCCCCGTGAGATCAGACCAGAAGCTCCTGCCCCTCATGGGACCCCCGAGTCTTTGGGGAGCAAACCCAAATTGCACCCCAGTGTTACCCTGTGAGCTGCCCAGCCCAGCTCAGCTGTAACCTCACACCAGCTTCCACACAGAGCCCAGACCACCCCCATCACACCCGGATCCCCCAGGGTTGGATCCAGCCTCTTGCCCTGCACAGGGCTCTCTCAGTCCCCCTCCACATCAGAGACCATCGTACCCTGTCTCTCCTCAGTGGCTCTGCCAGGGGCAGGAGGGGCATCAGCACTGGGCTGGCTGGTTTGGACCCACCCCATGTCCAATTTTTGGATAGCACAGTCCACACAAATTAATGAGCCCAGCAAGCCCTGCCAGGCAGGAGAGCCAAACGCAGGAAAACCAGGGAAAGTGGGTGAGTCTGGTTTTAATTATTTACCTCCTTCCTCCACCCACGGTTTGTAAGATCAGATTGAAAGAATAAGTGTTTAGGAACCCCGTGTCTTTCAAATTCTACAGAAATCTGGCTTTGCAGAGCCCCCACAGCAGAGCAACAGCCTGTGACAGCCCCTGTGCCAGCACTGACTGATACCATCAGCTGCACCCAGCACGTCCTGTCTGGGAGAACCCAGACACAGCCATGGAAACAGGAGATAAGGATGGAAGAGGGAGAGAGACAGGGAATGGTTAGTCCACAGGAGGAAGGGATGGCACATCCAGAGATGTGTTGTTAACCCAGGTCTCCGGGGTGCTCCCCCCTCAGCACAGCCCTTCTGGGGCTCTGGGGGTGCACCCACAGCCAGGCAGCTCCTCCAGGGCAGGGAGGTGTCACACAGCCCCTGTCACACCTGGTTTTGGGGACAATACCTGCTGGATGACCCCAGGAGCCTCATGTGGTATGAGTTATTTCTCTTTTTTTACTTAAGGGCTTTTAAAAGGGCTCCTGGGTGGGATTCACACCACCAGCACAGCAGGGACTGTGCATAGAGCCTGGCAAGGCTCTGTTTTGGCCTCACCAAGAGCTTTAACTGTCCCCACCACACCGATGCTGCCGACTGCTCCTCACACCAACACGCAGGGGGCAGATTTACACCCCAAAACAAGCCCCCTCCGAGCAGCCCCGCCGTGCTCATGGTCCCAGAGCAGAGCGGGTCTCGTGATGCCGCTGGGTTGTGGCCCCTTCCTCGGCCCCTTCCTTCCTAAGCCGGCTCAGAAAATGAAAGCAGGGCCCTCTGTTCCGCTTCCTGCCTCTCTCCGGCCTCACTTCCCCATTCCCTCACCCCACAGGCCGCTGCCCCTTCCCCATTCCCTCACCCCGCAGGCCGCTGCCCCTTCCCCATTCCCTCGCCCCACAGGCCGCTGCCCCTTCCCCATTCCCTCACCCCGCAGGCCGCTGCCCCTCCGCTGCTCAGCAGGACCAGCAGCATTTCCAACCACGCCGGCTGACTTCAGTGAGGTAGAAGGTCCAGCCAGAACAATTATAACGTTCCCTTTCTCTCCATCCCTCCCCCCCCACAGGTGAAATTTGGGATTTTGTCTAAAGGCCATTCTCCACCTGCCCCTCGCAAACTCAGGGAGGAGCAGGAGCAGGAGGTGTGAGGTCTCCAGCTGCTGTGGGACCACGGGCTGATTTTGGGAGCAGGAACCAACACCCAGGTGATACAGTCACCAAAACAGGCTGCAGCAACCTGGCCAGCACCACAGCCCAGGGCAGGGAAATGACTCTGATGAGCATCAGATTCCCACAGGGACAGAGACGCTGGACACAGCCCCATCCCAGGGAATGAGCTGATGGCAGCTCCTGCTTCCCGGTGGACATGCCCACAGGGAAACCCCAGTGCTAACACACTTGGGGAGATGCTTTAAGCACCTCAAGCTTCTCTTATCTCTGACACATTCCAGAGGTGCAATTGCACAAATGACTGTGCAGATTTCCTTGGAGGGATCAGAAGCAGCACTACAGAAATTCCAGCTTAAAACATCTCCAACTGTGAGGTTTTGGCAAGACAAATAATTAAAAAAAAGGCAAAAAAAAAAGCCAAAAAAAAAAAGCCCAGAACATTGTTCCTTTGTCTCTAAAGTTTAGCTAAAATCCAGCTGATTTTATGATGAGAGCAGAACCCTCCTTTCCAAATCCCCCCCAGCAAACCTCTGGATAACTCACAGAAACTGTTTCTGAGCAGACACAGTGATGTCTCACTGCACATTCTCCCTTGAAATCTCTATCTCTAAGCACAAGGTCCATGTTTTCTCCTTTCAGTCTCCCTTGACCAGAAGTTCAATCTGCAGGGAGGGAGTTCCCAGGATTTGGGATGTTCCGACTCCATATCTGGGGTAAGATTTAACAACCTAAACACCCATGAAGAGAAGAAGGACCACAAGTTCTCAGCTTATACAGCTGCCCATCATCAGGGCAGCTTTTCATTTGCAATGTCCAGGTTGCCAGAAGGCCCAGGAATGCTGGGTGGTGGGGAGCATCCTGCACTGCCTGGGTGAGGCTGAGCAGCAGCACCAACGCCAGCCTGGGACAAAGATGGGTCAGAGCAATGGAATCAAGGAATATCCTGAGCTGGAAGGGACCCCCAAGGATCATCCAGTCCAACCCCTGGCCCTGCACAGACACCCCAACAATCCCCCCCGTCCCTCAGAGCGTTGTCCAAACCCTCCTGGAGCTCTGGCAGCCTTGGTGCTCTGGGGAGCCTGGTCAGTGCCCAAATACCCTCTGGGGGAAGAACCTTTCCCTGTGATCCCTGACCCCTGCACTTCCCCTCAGATCTGGGCTTGCCACCTAAGAAACCAACCTCTGATG